AGACATCAGAAGTCTTACAATCTAGTACTGAACTATTATCGTGTAATACAAAAGCCCGATAATATTGTATACTTTTAAAAACACTGTAAAATGTCGTAACTGCCCAATATTATATTATAATGTATACATATATATTTTAATACCACAGCACGGACGAATGCTCACATCTGATTGGTCAGAAGGTGTGCATTATTTTCGTTTAACAGCACGGTTATGCACCATTATGGTTAGAACATGAACGACAGGTTAATATTTAATTTGCACGTTCTAAAACATTATTGGTTCTATAGTAACAGCTCATACAGAGGGACTTTTACAACAGACGCTCTACATAATCTAAGACTAATAATATCTCGATTATGCTTTCCCGGGGAAATCACAGGCAGAGAGAGGCAGAGAGGCAGAGAGAGAGAGAGAAAGAGAGAGAGAGAGAGAGAGATATATAACAAAAAGCACATACACACCTGGGGCCAGTCCAACAGAGCGGCAGTCATCTGACCCGTCTGATTACAGTCGTCGTCAATAGCCTGTTGCACGACAAACACACAAACAACGCGCTTCACTTAACCTTCACGGAGCTCGTATAAACCTACACGGAACCAAAGCGACGTCATAAGCGCTTGAAACATATTAATGACACATTATCCACGAGATCCTGGAAGAATTCATTTAATCTGCCCACGCTGTAAAGATAAAGTCTCTATGAAACTCTGTCAACTCGTATACCAGGCAATATACAACATGTTAGCACTTCCAGGAATTGTGTTCTTTGCTAGAACACTGTGTAAACTCCCAAAATGTAATAATAATAAAAAAAAAAAAAACCCCAACCCTTCTACATTACAAGTCATATGAACACTTACGGTAATTTTTTTTATTTTATCACACCTGAAGCCTTTGACCTGCTTCACTCTAAAGCTCGTATATTATGGGTATGTAATGAGATCGTTCATTATTGATTTTATTTTTTTATTTTTTTTTAATACTATGAAGGCGTGTTAAAGAAAAACTGTTTACGGCACATAAGTGTATAAATTCTTTGTAGATCATTTCGCTCAATGCAAGAAATTATATATATATATAAAAAATTTATATATATAATAATGTCGAATTCACGGCGCACTTTTAAGACTTTCATCTGATTCACCCTCACGTTTACAGCTGTACCTTTATATGACATCAAGCGAACGCTTCCTGACATCCCGGCTATTGATTATAATCTCATGACAAGAGTCACGATGACGGCAGAAAGTGTCCAACTAAATAAACTAAACAAAATAAAACAAAACAAAAAACAAAAACCAGCGCTCAAGAGCGTGTTGAACATCGCTGTGCTGGAAATCGTTAAACATTACAGTCGGACTCGGAAACTGGATATTATTATTATTAAGATCATTTTAACGCCATGTAAGCAACCAGGCTATTCACACGGCAAACAAAAAAAGCTCATCAATAAATATTTACAATATTAAATAAGACACTTAAAATTTATACAAGATAAAAACTATAAAAACCCTGTCAAGATTTATTCAACAAGTCTCTGAATAAAAGTATATCGCAAACCAGATAGTCTGAGGCTCTCGTGTGCCACCTAGTGGACACCGTGATGAATCCTGCAGATGTACACAAGATATGTGAGCGAGTATGTGAAAAATGCTGCGTGTGCACGTACGCGTGGTCACTGAAATGTATTTGTACCTTTAGAGAACTAGAAAGCTGCAATGTGAAGCCACTGGCGCTTCCTCTACACTCTCAGCACACTGGATCAAAATCCCTTTCAAAAACGCTACCTGTTTCCCAAGGATGACGAGGGAAGCGTCCTCGTTCTTGGCCAACGCGGCGAGGATCTTGGACACCTGCAGAGGCCCGAGAGACTCGTAGTCCTTTCCGGAAACCTCCACGTGAATGCCGCGGTCTGCCCCCATAGCCAGCGCTGTACGGATGGTCTCCTGAACATACACATTTCAGCAGTGAGTCGAGTCTGATAAATCGAACACAACGTGCACGGATGCGCATCAGACTGAATGTTAAAAAAATTTAAAAAATGCTGATCGTGGACCGAAGAGGGAATGGGATGTGTTAAGAATATATACACTGAAGAATAGAGGCCGACCGATTAACAAGACGGGCGATACCTGGACTTCTAGCGCGTTTTTAACGTTCCTGCTGTAGAAATGCCGAACGCGCGTTACCTGGACTTGCTGAGGTCCACAGCTTACAGCCACAACCTCCTTCACCAGTTTCTTCTCCTTCAGCCGGACAGCCTCCTCCACTGCGATCTCACAGAAAGGGTTCATCGAGTGTTTCACGCCATCCGTAACCACACCGGTTTTGTCAGGCTTCACTCGGATCTGAGAGAGAGAGAGAGAGAGAGAGCAATCAGTCATGTATATATAATACGAGTCCTCAGATGCTCCTAATTCGAAACTACTGAGGATTTTTGGAGAAACTTCCCTTGAGGATTCCCAATTAAAAGGCTTCGTGAACCTGATTGCTCAGAAGGTGTTGATTCATTTTCTCATTCACAAGGACTTGTAACAGGAATTACTGCTGAAACCTTACATGCAACTATAAACGGATAAAAACGCACGATTATTAACCGAAAAACAGTAAACTGTCCTAATAAATTTGGCACAAAAATGATGACTAGGGAAAAAGCATCCCGAACAACTATGTGCGATATTTTAAACGCTCATTACCGGCGTTGTATATCGCAATATACTGTGAAACTGTCGCTACGCGTCTACGTGCCGTCCAGGCTGACTTTGATCGTGTCCCTATCTTGTCATCAAGCAGACAGCAGGAGATCGGAAAAATAAATAAATTTAAAAAAAATTCACCTACCAGTGGTCTGGAAGAAAATCAAGAGCCACAAGAAGAGTCAAGTAATCTGTATTCCAGCTTTAATACAGGTTGAGGTGAGGATTATTTAAAGAAAGTCCAAAAAATTTTTTAAATCATTTATACAATACTGATTCATAATTTCGTATTCGACAGTGATGGTGAATTCTCCATTCTGGTTGGTCAGAAGGTGTTGATTCATTTTCTATAACAGCGGGCGTGACAGGAGTGCAGCTGGCAGGAACATCGTAGGTTTATTTCAACACGCTCGTTCCAAACGTAATGGTTTCTATAGTAACAGCTTACTCTGGGACTTTAGTACGCTAATAAAAATGTGTAATTGCTGGCAAATTGTGGTCAACTTCGAAGTAGTATTAGTCGAAGCAGCGTCATTGATTGTTTCCCCATAACCGCACACCCCGAACTGTTTTATTCCTTACATTACATACCATGACATAACAGATCTACTGGATTATTCAGTCTATAATGAATAGATAAACTTTTCTATTCAATAAAACAGAAGATGTTGCCAAATTGATAGGAATCCCTGTCTAAAAGGGGCTCTGGTTTTTATATCACACTAGACATACAGAGTAGATATGTAGATGAGGACTAATTATAAATAATACTATAATAATGTTTGGGGATTTTTAATGTAAGTGTATTTACCCCGTTTTATTGACGCACGAAAGAATCAAAAACGCCATAAATTTGAAGGTATTCATGTAAATCTGGCAACCCGAATGAAGAACCCCCCAAAGATAGCAACACTTGCTAGACAAATGTCAATTATGACAGCTAAACAAAATTTAAACATTCTATATTAAAGTTTATAACCCTAAATATGGAGATGAATTTTGTTTAGTTATCTCTCCGTTCAAAAACGCTCCTATCCGCGCTGACCTTGATTTGACGTTTATCCTGCCTTTAACCGTCTTGCCTGCAAGCAAACTAAGCTAAGGCCCAATCCCAAATAACGCCGTATCTGCCAAAGAAGTGCACTAGACACGCGAGGAATTGGCGGCGTCTGCACCCTTTAGTAGTGCACTAGGGTGCTTTTTGGAATTCCGCCCGGGGTTAACTCGGATAACATGCCATACAGCTGGGCTTAAGTTAACCGTCTGGAAGATAGATATTTTAAAAGCGATGCATTTCTTTCCGAATTAAGAAACAGGCGGTAAAGAGAGGAGACGCGTACCTTTACGGCGTAGTCAATAACCCGCTTAACTCCGACTAGAACCCGGGCGGTCATAGTGGCAGAACTCGGCGAGCTGAGGAATCACAAACCGGTGTGGAAACGCAGTCGGAAGAATATCAGTGCGACACCATAAGAGGCGGGACCATGAAACAAACGCCTACACGTTCAGCCAATAAAATTCCTGAAAGCAGAAAGTGGACCAATCAAATGTGACTACATAACAGCTATTGCTGCGTGTTACAGGCTACACAATTCTAACAGAAACATCGTCTATTTGAAGTTCCGTGTCTGCTATCTAGGTTAAAGGTTACTAGTGGGATTTCTATGCTGTAAGAAAATAAACGGTGTTAATTGTATAATTGTGATCGATTAAACGTTCATAAAATAAAGAACAGGCGATGATTATTGTATACACACTTTTTTATAATGTCGTTTTACCCAACAAACACACAACCGTTATTTCCTAACGTTCCGGGAACGTTGTATTTTGGTCAGCTGGACCCTGTGACATTCTGGGAACTTTTAAAACACAACTGTTTTAGTTAACTGACAACTAAGGTTGGTTTTGGGTGCTTTATTTTTGTAACTTCAAACTAATGTTCAGGGAACATTCCTATAACATTCTTTCATGGCCTCATAAGAGGAACTTTTGCCAAATAGGTAGTTGTTTTGTAACTACAAACTAAGTTTTCACAAAACCTTTATACCCGGGTATACCTTTAACTGTATAGTAAATTCCATAAACTCCCTGATAACAGATTTATTAACATGAACAATATTTAAATGTGTAAAATAATGTTTTGGCTATTTTTTTATTAGGACCATAGAGCTTTTCACTGACAGAACACATTTACATAAACAGCATTTGGCAGATGCCTTTATCCAGAACAACTTACATTTATCACATTAATACATCTGAGTAGTTGAGGGTTAGGGTTAGAGGGCCCAACAATGGTAGCTTAGCAGTGCTGGGGTTTGACCTCATGACCTTCTGATAAGTAGTCAAACAGCTTAACCACTGAGCTACGACTACACAAAACTGTTAATAATAACTAATAAAACTGTTAAACAGACTAATAATAACTAAAAAATAATAATAATTCCACCACGGTAACAAATTATTCATGGATCATTACATTATTCATGGACCCCTGGGGGTTCTCCACTTTGAGAACCTCTGATTTAAGGGTTCCAAACCATCCCATGTTAGTGCAAGGTTCACAAATAGTTACAAGGAACATTCTCTGAACCGCATTGACATATTATAAATCCATCAAGAAAACTATCCCGGAAATCTAAACAGGAACTAAAAGAGATCTCTCATCATAAAGTTTCACAAATGCAAACATTCCCAGGTCATTCTGGGAACCGATAATTGTTAGTTGGGTTTTCAAAGGAAATGGAGCCTAAAGCATAATGATAAAATATAAAATATAGCAGGCGTATATATACACTATATCACCAAAAGTTTATGGACACCTGACCATCACACTCATATTCCCCTGTTGAACATCCCATTCCGGATTTAGTCCTCTTTGCTATTATGTCCACTCTTCTGGGTCCATTAGGTTTTGGATCATCGTGTATGTTGGGAGTTGTGTTCATTCAGCCACAAAAGCATTAGTGCGCTCAGGCACTGATGTAGTGAGGAGGAATGGGCAGTTCATCCCAAAGGTGTTCAGTTGCGTTGAGGTCAAGACTCTGTGCAGAAGTTTTACCACTCCAACCACGTCTTCATGGAGTTGGAACAGGTTTGTGCCTCTTAGATCCAGGGAAGAGAAATTGCAATGCCACAGCATACTAAGACATTCTATACAGATGTGTGCTTTGATTCTCATGGCAGCAGAAGAACCACATACAGTATGGGTGTGATGGTCAGGTATCCACATACCTCTGGCCATATACTGTATAACATTAACACCATGTTTAATTGATTTAAAAAAAAAAAAGATAATAAGACAGACAGAACAGATAACATTGTCCAATCTTTTGTTTTTATTTTGTTCGTTTAAACAAGTTTAAACAAACTGATCAAACTCTTATAAACACATGCATTACATAGACAAACAGACTCAAAAACAAAACAAATATAGACAAAAGATTTTTATTTCATATTTAATAGACTACAGGAACTCTCAGCCACTCAACACTTGAATACAGACACGTTTCGAAAAGGTTATACATTGCGCATGCGCACCATTTTGGCGCACACGCGTGACGTAGGACGCAGTCTGAATCCTAACAGCGCTTCACGTCCTACATTAGGGCACAAACATAGGCGTCGAAATAACGGCTCCTGCGCGCTATATAGTGCACTAAGTGTGTAACAAGAAGCAAATTGGAACACAGCCACAGTTCCTGTCTCTGTCTCTCTCTCACTCTCACTCTCTCTCTCTCTCGCTGTTGTGTGTGTGTGTGTGTGTGTGTGTCTCCCCGGACTCTCACATGACCCAAGTGTTTGTTCCCGTGATCAAGATTTCCATTAAAACGCTTTGGGAAGTTGGAGGTAGATGGATGTGCTGCAGCAGACTTTGGACTCCTCGTTGAGGTAAATCATTAGTGTACCTGCTTCTTATAAAATAAAGTTTTAAAAATAAATAAATAAATAAATGCAAGCCAGTAATTATGTAGAAATGTTATGCTGAGTTTGTCATTTACAGGCGAGACACTACAGGTGAATAGGGTCATTAAAAGTATTATTTTATTATTATTATTATTATTATTATTATTATTAAATATTATAACCAGCCTTTACCAGGTAATGTCTGATATTCATACAGGTATTTTATTAAAAAAAAAAAAAATATATATATATATATATATATATATATATATATATATTATACGTTTTCTCCCCCAAGTATAAAAGTAATTATTTATGCAAATGTGAGTTGCTCTAATTAAATCTCCATAAATTTGCATACTTAATTACAACCCGTATCCAGTCTTCTGATGTTGTATGTAGAACTCACAATTTCCTCTCCCACCCAAGACTTCATCTTAATATGAGAGACTTTTACTGAAAACACTGTTGGAAAAGCATTTCCTTATTGTTTAATGTGTAAGAAAATATATTGCACTGCTATAAAACAAAACAAAACAAAAGTATTATGTCGTTTTCAGTATAAATATGTCAAATAAATCCAACGTTTCTGGGGGAAATTCCTCCAGTGAATAAGTATTATTATTATTATTATTATTATTATTATTATTATTATTATTATTATTTTTGCCATTTCATGAATGCAGGTGTAGAATTAATTTACAAATAAAACAGTTTAAAAAGACACTAATGTTGTTAAATTTTTCCACAGCGCTTAGTCTGGTTTGTAAGGTTTATAAAGAAAAATGACATGTCTATACTATATATATATATATATATATATATATATATATATATATATATATATATATATATATATATATATATATATATATATATATATAACGACACATAAACTGACATGTATGACAGGAGGTCATTATAAAGTTGGCGGAGAATGATCAAAGTGTCTTCTTTAAAATTTCAGATAATAATTTTCCTGATGTGTAGAGTTTTTAATTTTATTTATTTTTTTACGTTTAGGATGACATTTTATAGATAGAATTTATTTTTAAAAAATCTGAATAAATAAATGAGTCTTGACGTGTTTATGTGTGTCATTTATATTCATGGAACATATTTAACCGGTTATTTTTTGTGTTTGTCATAAATTTGATAAAACTGCTGAAACTATTATAAAGATATTTAATGTAGAAATCTTACGCTTACTGTTTAACAATATAAAATGTTTCACTTTTACAGTGATTAAGCTTTATTGTCTCAATGGTTTTCAGGCAAATGAAACAAGAAAAAGACACATCAGAGATAACTGAAGGTATGAAGAGCTCATAATAATCCTACAAGATTATTATTATTATTAATATTTAATAGATGGCAGTTGTTGTTTTTATGCATGTGTTGGGTTTTTCTAAGATAAATATACAGCAAGTGGTAAGGATGTGGTTAGAAATAAGACCACCTTCTTATTATAGGAAGGATTCTAGAATAGTGGAAGAAATCCATCCATCCATCCCCTACCGCCTGCTCTTTTTCAGGGACGCGGGGAACCTGGAGCCTATCCCAGGGAGCATCGGGCACAATGTTATAAATAAATATAACAAATAACTTAATAAGAAATCAAGCTGATTTAAAATGAAAATAGGAGGCAGAAGCTAAATGGATTAACTTCCAACTTTAGGTTGAACAAACCGTCTAGGAATATAACGGATACTGGTACTTATTGCACGCAGAGTTTTATTTTCCAACTTCAAGAAATCAAGAAGCTGAGATCAATAATACGATATAAATGACAGCTTCCAATATTAAATAAATAATAATAATAAAAATAAACGTGGACTATATCATTTGTTGTATATCTAATATAATACTATTGGAGATTAGGCCCACTCAGGCTTTACTCTCTGGCAGTCATGGAATTTAAACGCTCAATCTTTTCCAGTCTTTCCCAAATGATTTACCATATCCTTCTGCTACAGACGCTTTGAGAGGAGGTGAAGCGGCTGCATTTCCTCACACTTCAGCTTTCACTGACCGGAGCGTCCAGTATCAGTTTCTCCCCGACAGCAGCGGTACGCAGGTGGGCTTTTTTCTTCTTCTTTCTTTTCTTAAAGGTGCGCTTTGGGTCTCCAATTACCTCGAAGGCAATCACTCAGCAAAGACAGGGCGCATGTCCAGCATTAAAATGCTCCAGAGGATAGCGTAGCTAAGAAAGGAAAGGCAGAAAGCTTGCACAGAGTAATCACGAGACAGCTGTGATGCACTTCATACGTTAAAAGTTGACGTTTTACGTATTTATGTTAGTTATAAATATGATTCGATTTATATTCTAGTAAATTATCATTTAAAACCGGTACACTTTAATAAATAATTTAAGATTTTGTGATTATTGATGTCATTTCAACAACTGGAGGATTGATTTTTGCTTATGATGCACATTACTGCTCATTTATGTCATGACGTATATAAATAACCTCGTGCTACAAAGTCTCTCTCTCTCTCTCTCTCTCTCTCTCTCTCTCTCTCTATGTCTCTGTCCCCGTGTATAAATACTTCATATATCTAACTATTAATAAAAAACAACAACACTCATGAGATGCGTTAAGAGCGAGTGCTGTAGCCTAAACAGATGCTGAAGAAAAGGATGCAGTCGCTGCTGCAATTATTGCAGGCGGTCATGTGACTGTATTTCCTCACTGGGACTGGAACTGAGCCCAGGTCACATGTCAGTCAGTAAGTAAGTCACATGATAGGACGGAGAGGGGGGGAGGGGGAGGTTGGGGAAGGAAGGATGCTCGTGTAGGACTCTTACAAATCCTTATTCTTCAGCCTGAACAACTAGTGCTCTTATTGCGCCATAGATTAAATTAACTCGCACACCACTATCAGCATAGTTAAAGCATGAGAAAGACATTGTTAATGTTAAACTTCTTTGGGAATTGTTGGCTTTCTTGTTGAATGGCGCATTCCCACCACATTGTTCATGGGAAGATGGCAGTTGTCTGCTTTTCCAGATCTCTTGGAATTAAAAATAAATAAATAAATAAAGTCAAATCGTCAATATGTTTTTATTAAAGTAGCTTTGACCTTCTATGTTGATTGTGTTGCTCCCATTTAGTCCATTACATTTGCCAGTAAAATGTTTTTAAACTCTCGATTCATTTTCAACGGTCATTTTATATATATATATATATATAATATAAAATCCCACTTTGCTTACTCCAGGCATATTTTAACAGCTTGTCATGGCGACAAGATGAGGCCACATCCAAACCCATGACATATCACTTGTACTTGGTTCCAGACCAACAGCATTTTCATGCTGGAAGCGAACTGAGCCAGCACTAATATCATCATTAAATGGTCGAGTGAGCATCTCATTGCACACTCACTCTCCCAGTTAAGATAAGCCCCCCTTTCCCCCTGAGAACCGGTTGGTTTGCAGTGGAAATGGGTGAAATTGTTCAAGAAGT